CATTATTTAAAATTTTTATTGATTATCTTTATGTAGGTCAGATTAATTCAGTCAACCGTTATCGAAAGTAAAGAGTGTAGAAATCGTATGAGATATCTTTATTCTCTACGCATAGCCCAATAAATTAGATCAGCACAGGTAGATAGTATAACCATCTAGTACATGCATACTCACCTTAATGAACAGGTATAACTGCTGATGAGCAGACCAAAGGTGTGTTCATTTGTATTTATTCAAAGGGAAAAGTAATTCTTTGGAGATCTTAAACCCATCCACCCCCAAAACCGGGCCATAACTCTTAAATTTAACAAACAAAAAACTCAAAACTCCCACAAAAAATAGAAACTAAAAAACACAATAAATAAAACAAACAACAGAGGTTTTACAAATAGCACACGCATAAGGAATCAATTTGTATATATATATATATATATATATATATATATATATATATATATATATATATATATATATATATATATATATATATATAATCACTTCCAATGCAGTTCAGATGGACTACAACCAACTACATATCGACCGAATGAATGAAATTAATGAACTCAGCACAGCCACAAAATGTAGTGTGTATCAGCCACAAAATGTAGTTCTTTAGTTCTTTATCTTTTGCTAATAATCGCAATCTCCTTCGCATATTGTCAAATTGCTCCTTTTAGTTTTTGAACTTATATTTTCGTTCATATTGATTAAATAAATATAAGACAGATTTAGTTATACACTAAAGACGGTTTAAATAAAGAAAGTAGAGCACTATCGCATGATGGTACTTAAACATTGAACGCGCTGGCTTTCATGTGGCGGCTAGCATACTTAATCGAAACAGAAATAGAAATTAAGCGAAATGAGGACCCGGCAAGAGTTAATTCAAACATTTAAATTAATTTAGTATTCATTTATGTTAATATCAATATTTAATTAGCATTGCTATCAACCATACAATTAACTATGTTCTTCATTTGTAACTTTCCCATTTTCATCGCTTAGTGTGACTAAATTTTCCATCATTCCTAAGTCTAGAAACATCATCGCATGGCAAAACGAAAATCTGCCACGCACGTTGTTTTTAACAGATTTTCACAGGTATATTTCTGCGAAGAGAGAGAGAGAGAGAGAGAGAGAGAGAGAGAGAGAGAGAGAGAGAGAGAGAGAGAGAGAGAGAGAGAGAGAGAGAGAGAGAGAGAGATTAAACAACGCTTTTATTCTTTTCTTTTTTTAACCCTTAATTGTTATTAATAGATTTTTAAAATATGAATAAAGAAATTAAAGCATTAAAAAGATTACACCGTTTACCTCAAATTTTGATTGGTATTGAAGCTTTGTACTATTGGTACTACGAATTCTGTATTTAAATCTCATTGAACGTTTACGTCTAACCGTTACGAAGTACCCGCTTCTTGGAGGCTATTCGTTGCAAATTCAGTTGTTTTTCTCATTCCTGTATTATCTCCCTTATGCGTTTGAGAGAGAGAGAGAGAGTGAGAGAGTGAGAGAGAGAGTGAGAGAGAGAGAGAGAGAGAGAGAGAGAGAGAGATATTAAACAACACTTTTTTCTTTTGTTTCTTTTTTAACCCTTATTTCTTATTAATAGATTTTTAAAATATGAATAAAGAAATAAAAGCATTAAATAGATTACACCGTTTACCTCAAATTTTGATTGGTATTGAAGCTTTGTACTATTGGTACTACGAATTCTGTATTTAAATCTCATTGAACGTTTACGTCTAACCGTTACGAAAAACCCGCTTCTTGGAGGCTATTCGTTGCAAGTTCAGTTGTTTTTCTCATTCCTGTATTATCTCCCTTATGCATTTGAGAGAGAGAGAGAGAGAGAGAGAGAGAGAGAGAGAGAGAGAGAGAGAGAGAGAGAGAGAGAGAGAGAGAGAGAGAGAGAGAGAGAGAGAGAGATGGGGGGATTGACGAAATTCTGCACTGTTTAATTCGTTCAGAAGGCGGGTATTAATTTTATATCGTTATTTTCTTTAAACGCTAATGATTAAATAATGGAAATTTATCTCAGAGATAGAGAATGTCGAAGAGATAGCCTACTGGTAAAATATAACTTAATGTTGAAACAATCTGAATATATGCGGACAAAATTTCGTTATACCGACACTTTCAAAGCCTTTACTATTGTAATGTGTGTTTGGGTGGGTAGGAGGGTGGGTGGGTGCGCACGCGTATCTGCGTGTCTGTATGTCTTTCAATCTAGTGCTCAGTCCTATTGGTACTTCCGATTGTTTTCCTTATTTTGATATATCAGTAACATAAGTAAAATGCTTTTTTTCAGGATCTATGTGATCCCTGTGGATACAAGCCTATGCTTCACCAAGACCATGTCAAAGATTTACGTTACTTCCGAGGCAAATCTAAATCTTGGTCGGCAGGAGAAAAACTTCGTAAAACCAGATTTGCTCTGTGATCTTCGAGCTGCCCATGGGACTTGATGCCGGAGTTAACATCTCATGTTGATACCAAGTCATCCAATGGTGCTATGAAGGGACTGGTGCAATATTCTTCTATCTACCTATCCAACTACCTCTCTGCCTAACAACCTACCTATCCTACCTACTATCGATCGATATGCCTATCTATCTATCTATCTATCTATCTATCTATCTATCTATCTATCTATCTATCTATCTATCTATCTATCTATCTGTCTCTCTGTCTGTCTGTCTGTCTGTCTTTCTTTCTTTCTTTCTTTCTTTCTTTCTTTCTTTCTTTCTTTCTTTCTTTCTTTCTTTCTTTCTTTCTTTCTTTCTCTAGATATATCATCAACCATCCCTGTATATACGTGTCTGAACAAAAAGTCAATATAGTATCCTATTTACATATATTTATCTATTGAACTTTCGTTCTTTCTCTCTCTCTCTTTCTTTCTTTCTTTCTTTCTTTCTTTCTTTCTTTCTTTCTTTCTTTCTTTCTTTCTTTCTTTCTTTCTTTCTTTCTTTCTTTCTTTCTTTCTTTCTTTCTTTCTTTCTTTCTTTCTTTCTTTCTTTTTCTTTTTCTTAATGACTGTCTTTAAATATATCATCAACCTGCCCTGTATATATATATATGTCTGAATAAAAGACTATATAGTAACCTATTTACATATATTTATCTATTGAACTTTTGTGCAAATATGTTCAGATTAAATGTATACGCTAGTGCGCATATGAGAGAGAGAGAGAGAGAGAGAGAGAGAGAGAGAGAGAGAGAGAGAGAGAGAGAGAGAGAGAGAGAGAGAGAGAGAGAGAGAGAGAGAGAGAGAATTATGTTTTCATTTTAAAGGGAAAGATTATGCAGAACTTGTTCAGTTAGTATATAATTTTCTTTTACGATTTGTATCTAAACAAATTGATTTTCGTTCATCTATATGACTTGGCTTTTCCTTTTTTTCTTTCTATCATTCTGAATTTTATGTAAACAGCTGAACCAGAAAGCAAGAACGGTGCATTTGTTTCATGAACATTTTAATAATTTTTTTTGTATGATTAAACAAAAAAAATTTAAAAAAATAAACAAGATGGCTAGACGTGAGCATAAACAATTCCTTTACTACTTCAGGAACCTACATTTCTGTTGATAAAACGATGTTTTTATCTTGTCACTGTGACATGGGTAAGGTGAAAAACAATTAAACGATATCGTACTTTGTCAGGTCAAAAACGACCTGGTTAAGGTACCAGTCGGATTGCATCTAGTCGGATGTGCCGTGTATGTTCGTGAATAACGTCTCTCCAGACCCAAAACAGCATTGACCCAGATTCTCCATTATACCATGGCATATCTGCCATTAAGTTATAAAATGGCAGGTGTGTATCAGCTTGCTTTAAGGTTCAGTTGAGTTTCTTATGTATATTATTATTGATATAATAACTATAGATATTGTGCTCTTTTACATGAATTTGCTTAGTTTTCCGACTTCTCTCCCGACCCTTTCTTACTTTTCTTTTTACTCATTAATTAAAAGAAGTGTTGAATGATGGTGCCTCATTTTATATATGGTTTAGGGGAAATATGTTTTTAATTGCTATTATAATAATTGATTACTGTTGATTAATAATGACCTAGAAGTAATGTACGTTTGTTTGAAATACTTTTTCATTTCACGCAGGGATGAAAAGGTTGCACAGATTAAAAATGACACAAAATAATTACAACTAATGAGTTTACTCTGCACCTGGAAATACCGTAATTTTATTCGCATTAATTAGTATTGTTGCTATGAAGGGATTGGTACAGGTCCCAACGTCTTGTAAATATAGGAATATAACATTAAATGTTTTGAAGAATCAGATGGGTATATTACGGTTTGTTATTAATAAAATATATACATATTCTTCTATGCCTCCTGACTGGAAAACATTATTTACTATAAAATGGTCACACACACACACACACACACACACACACACACACACACACACACACACACACACACAAACACCTGAAAACTCTTAGCTTTGAATATTTGACAATACGAATTTATTCGATATCTGTGAGCCTACAATAACCATACTAACCTTGGACCTTTCACTAGCAATTTGATGTAATTCATATTATATGTAGATTGGACGTTTCATTGGCACATTGATAACGGGTTATTTGTTCGATCTGTAGCTTGGATTTAATAAGGGCAAACTCATACGATGTATATGTGTGTATGTGTGTGTGTGTGTGTGTGTGTGTGTGAGAGAGAGAGAGAGAGAGAGAGAGAGAGAGAGAGAGAGAGAGAGAGAGAGAGAGAGAGAGAGAGAGAGAGAGAGAGAGAGAGAGAGAGAGAGAGAATTTTAACGTACCTTCAACAATTTTTCAGTCACATCGTTAAGACGTCTGCAGTGTGGCAGTTTATAATGATGTCTACCACTGGAGCATCATGCCGCAGACATGTATCATGATATCCTGACACCAGGCCTACCAGTCCTAACACTAACTTCTTAAGGCTGAGTACCAAGCGGGGCAGCTGTTAGTACCATTTTGGTAAGTATTTGGTATGACTCGGCCGGGGTTCGAACCCACAATCTTCCGCGCTTGAGGCGGACGCTCTAACCACTACGCCACCGGAGCGGTATACGACCTGTTGCTTGGACCTTTCAGTGGCACATTGTCACATCAAGTATATAAGGAAACCATACTTGACGCTGAATCTGCAAGCATGAATGCATATGATCATTGTTTTGGAAAGACCTGTGTTATTAGATCAATCAATAATTAAAATCACGCTTGCGAGCTATTACCACGGACTGACTGGTGGCGGGACTAGCTCAATCCAAACGCACTACTATACATATTAATCCGTTGTACTATGTGACGAAAGTTGTTGTTTTGGGGCTTAACGCCATTTTTCAGCACACTTTAGGCTATACATGGCGGCCAGTATTAATGGTGGAGGAAGAAACCGGGAAATCCGCGGAAAGAACCACCGACCCACGAGAAGCTACTGGCAAGCTTTCTCACCTATCCACATTCGCCGAATCTTAGACTCGAACCCATGCAGACAGAGATGAGATGCCAGTGATCCGTAACGGAGAGCGCTTTAGACCACTCGGGCACTCGGATTTTTATATAGTACCGGATTTAGGAAAATAATGTCCTTTATCTAAACAGTGACTCGTACATGTAGGGACTAGACAAGCAATATAAATATAGCGATGTCCCAAGTAGAGAGAGCGTAGCTGTCAAATCCCGTGAGATTTGGCTGGAGTAAAAACAAGGAAGTAGACGTGAACCGCGAGCGTTAGTAATGCTTTCTAAAGACGACATGAGTGAGTTTGGTAAATAGACGTGCCTTTCCATTATGTTACAAATTTGCACTTTCTTTATAATTGACATTTCGGGATTGGTTTAAATGTGTCAACAAGTTAGTGTTTCAGGTCTTTAGGACTATCTATACACAAGGCATTTATTTTTCAAAATGCTAGAGGACACAAATTATATGAAGTACTGACCAAAATGTTGATCATTATTTGACAGTTTTTAAAAGGATAAAAGATTTCAAATGTTTCATTCAGTTTTTGAAGTTAAACTTTGCGTAGTTTACAATATAAACATTTCAAAATCATATAAGATGCATACGTCTCTACATCAGCCATAAACTGCATATTTTTTTATAACACGAAATCAAAAACATCATGAAGTCGACATGTGATCTTAGTTGGAAGTTCTTAATCAGATCGGATTTTATCATACCGAGTTCTACAGTTTAAACACAAACGTAGACAGTTTAATCAACGAACCGCAGCGCTCTAGCGCGGTTGCACAATTAACATAACGCAAGAGGTATAGCGAACACAAAATAATACGAAAGGTTAGAATTTGCGATTTCTGTATGTACAAGTTCATCCTTCGTTTAGTAGGTGTACCAATGAAAATTAATGGCGACTTTTCATCGCTCCTTTTTCTAAAAGAAGTTGACCTGTATTACTTTAAAACAGCAATACAGGTTCGTAGATTTATACTAGCCATTAATGATAAAACTGGACGCGTCCTTTGTTAGTGCCAATATCTGCAGCTCATGTTTCTTACAAAATTAGTATCTTTATTTCTCGCCTCATAAATATAGGATTGGAAATCTCTATGATCAATAATCAAGACACGACCTCCAGTACATCTTTTTAAAGTATTATGACGGATGCCATAACTAGATCACGTGTCTTGAAGTGAGTCACGTGAATACAGGCAGCTATGAAATAAGTAAAACAAAATGGCTGCAAACTTTCTAACGTTAAATACATAATTTATAATCAAAATATATTTGCATTGTCATATACGAAGTATAAAAAGAAGTTATTGGGTGGTCCTCACTAGTAATTATGCCAAAAACTAATCCTATATTTCAATTACACAGTTTTGATTGGTCAGTCCTTCAACGTAACTATATTTTGGCACAAAGGAGATAACTATTACAGCTGATTTGCAATTTCTAAACAATCGTGTGCATAATCTAACGTAAGAACTCCAAGAAGGCCTTATTTAGGTCATATGACTTGCAAGCCAGAAGTCATTCAATTTTCGACTGGCAATCCTAAAATATGACGATGGTGGTGTTGTGGAGCTTGAAGCAATTTTTTTAGCCCAAGATAGGCTATACATGGCGGCC